TCCTACAAGTCCTTAATGGGACCAATCTACAAAAATTCAAAGTATGCAAATTGTTAAGAATATTATTCAGACCATATTTTGTTCAATATTGCTTATCAAAATATTCCCCCTTTTTGAGATATAGAGCGTCTAATATTTGACATTCTGGCCCCTTCTGACCCCTAATTACGTAACATATGATCAAAATTTTATGATATATTGTTGCAAATTGTTACGATGAATACTTTTGCTTCAGTAATGTATAACAAAATACTGATCATAAGAGAGTTAAAGATGAAAGACTTTTGGCCCCTCTGAGCCCCTAATTGGAGCGGTCAGCCCCATTTTCTTGATATCAAATGAAAGGTCTTGTGAATTTGAAGATGTTTTGTTCAACACTTATTCAGAGATTTTTTTTCGTTGTTGAGATGTGCTAAATGGAAAAATTTAGGGGCCACTCCTACAAGTCCTTAACGGGGCCGTTTTACAAAAAATTGAAGTTTGCATATTGTTTAGATCATCATTCTGACCATCTTTTGTTCAATATTGCTTATTAAAATATTCCCCCTTTTTGAGATATAGAGCGTCCAATATTTGACATTCTGGCCCCTTCTGACCCCTAATTACGTAACATATGATCAAAAGTTTATGATATATTGTTGCAAATTGTTAAGATGAATACTTTTGCTTCAGTAATGTATAACAAAATACTGATCATTAGAGAGTTAAAGATGAAAGACTTTTGGCCCCTCTGAGCCCCAAATTTGAGGGGTCAGTCCCTTTTTCTTGATAGCAAATGAAAGGTCTTGTGATTTTGCACATTTTATCTTCAATATATTTTAACAAATTATGAACAGGTATGAAGATATGAAACAAAATGTGCCAAATTGTGTGAGATATTTTTGAGCCATTTTTTCAAACCCAGGTGAGCTTTGGTGCCTTTTGCACTGGATAGATATAGTCTCAAAATGGCACTTCTACAATTCATCCTCTATCTGCACTGAAAATCTCAACTCATTATCTCGAGTCATTTAGGAGGAGTTACCAGGACAAGCAGACCCTCTGAAAATCAGAAAAACGTCCATATCTCACGACCGGAAGTGGCAATCTCAGTATAAAAAATTTCCAATAAGGTTCAGATCAATATCTATTAGATCTGAAAGTTTCCTGAAAATCCATCAAGCCGTTTCCGAGAACTCGCGTGCACAAAATCTGTAAGAATAATAATAAAAAAAAGAAGAGGGAAAAAGAAACAGAACGAAAACAATAAGGTCTTCCGTTGGAAACGGAAGACCTTAATAACTAGATGCGTTCTTGTTGCTAGGGCAACAAGCAGGTCTTCCGCCCGACTTTTCGTTAGAAATCTCTGCTCCGTCAGGCCATGAAATAGATTTCAGAATGTATTTTTATCGTTTACTTTCATTGACAGCAGTCTCTCAACATAGATCGTGATTATTAGTTATTCCACAAAATATCTCAAAATATAGCTTTTAAAAATCGACAAAATCTACCATACATTATAAAAAAGAAAGAAAAGACATATGCAACTGAAAAAAGACAGAAACAAAGAAAAAAAATTTGCAACGCTCCCAGCGGGATTCGAACCCCCGACAGTGAGACAAAGTTTGGATTGGTCATATCTTTGCAATAAATGCACGCATGAAAATGTTGAAAACATATTTAGAGTTCTTAAAAGATACTCTATCAACCCTGTGATTTCCAAAGAAAAATAGTGGAAAACAAAAAAGTTGAAAAATTAGACTTTTAGAATTCACTTCCGTTTGCGACCGGAAGTCAAAACGACGAAAAATGAAGGTCGATCAGCACATCTACATTCGATTTTCTATCATGTCCGTAAGTTTCAGTTTTATATCTGTTACTGTTCTCGAGAATTTTTTGCGACAAAATTCCATTTAAAAAATACAAATTTCCCCAAAAAACGCGAACGGAAGTAAATTTCGAAAAAGTGAGGGACACCCCTGGAGATATTAACATGATGCACCATCCCTGAAAAAATCGTTCAAATTGAACCACGCACAGCGGAGATATGACCTGTACTACGAAAAGTGGAATAATAATAATAATAATAATAGAAAACAGAAGGAAAACAATAAGGTCTTCCGAAGGAAGTCGGAAGACCTTAATAATAACTAGGGCTAATTGTAACGGGGACCGTTACAGATGTTCCCCAAACGCTCCCCAACTCCCTTTTGGTGCCATATTTCCTTAAACTCTATCAAATAAGACATACTTTGTGCAATTTAGACTTAAACAATGTTTTCCTAGAAGACTACGAAATATATTTAAATTTTAGCATTACATGCGAGCTCATGTGAATGCATGTGGGTAATGATCATATCATCTTTTCTACACTATGTATATATATTCAAATAGACTTAATATCAAAGCATTAAATCCAGAAGTATTAAAAAATACACTTATTCAAGCATATTTTTAATTTACTCATTTCAAGTTACAAGCATGTGCATGATGACTATACCTTCTTGTAGGGGTCCATTATGTCTATCAATATTCTAAATACCATCCTATTTCGTTGAAAACCAAGGGAGTTATAACCATTTAAAGTTTAAGCCAATCAGATTTCAGCGCACGTGCATGCGTGTGATTTAATGACAATTGTTATATATCATATTGTAGGACATCCTATTGTATGCTAATGTTTTAAATTTCGTAGCATTTCGTCAAAGAACGGAAAAGATATTGAGATTTTTGTTTCAGCCAATCAGAGTGAAGAACACGTGCACGCACGTGCATGACGACCATACCATCTTGTTGGAGTCTATTATGACTGTCTATGTTCTAAATCCCATCCTGTTTGGTTGAAAAACAAAAGAGTTATAGCCATTTAAAGTTTAAGCCAATCAGATTGCAGTGCACGTGCATGCGCGTGCTTACATGACAATTGTTATATATCATATTGTAGTACATCCTAAAGTATGCCTATGTTTTAAATTTCATAGCATTTCGTCAAAAAACAGAAAAGATATTGAGCTTTTTGTTTCAGCCAATCAGAGCGAAGCGCACGTGCATGCGCGTGAGTTCGTGCTAATTTGACAGTGTCACATTATCAATAGTATTAATATATCTTTATATAATGAGTTTCAAATCATTTCATCAAAAAATGTAAATGTAATAGCTATATTAAGTATATCAGTCAATTCACTCATTTCACGCGCACGCACGTGCATGCGTATGCGCGCAAAATAACCTTCGTGTTGCACACCTACACTACACACCTATTAACCCTAAAAAGGTTTTAGCTCAATTGGGTGAACAATTTCTGAGAACACTCGCGGACAAAAAAGTACCGGAGAACAAAGAAGAAAAAAAAGAATAATAATAATAATAATAATAATAATAAGAAACCGAGTAAAAACAATATGTTCCCAAACTCCGTTTGGGGAACATAATAAGAAACAGAGTAAAAACAATATGTTCCCCAACTTCGTTTGGGGAACATAATTACAACACTGACAAAGGAAACTATACAACAAGAAACATTGTTTAAAACTAAATGTCAAGTGATAGAAAAGGGTTTTTAATGAGTAGGTAGTGGATTATATACTGTGTGAAATGTATAGGGATAGGATTTTTGAGAAATTCTTGACACTATTTTTGACGTTACATTGCCGTTGGTGTGCTCTGCTGTCACAAAACATGTTGATCATAAAATGAAGTAAATCGATTTCTGTTAAATCAAATGGAATGAAGCTTCACATATGAACAAAACAAATATTTTTACACATTTTATAGTGCTTATGTTAAATTTCTTGAAAAGTAGTGTAACGAAGATTGACATCGTCCACGACCTTTTCGAACAACCTTTGTACACTCTATACCAATGTATAATTAAGACACTTTGACTTTTTAACTGATTTGAAGATTTTAGTATGCTGAAAGAATCATTTTGTATATTACATCAAGAAATATTAATTGACAGAAAGTATGTATTGTTTTAAAGCTTCACTAAATCCCCATAATCAAAACTATTTAAAGCTTGAAAAGTAACAGACAAAAGAAAATATGACATCAGGAAAGTTTTAACATCTATTTAAAAAATTGTAAATAAAACTGTTAGTGACTACTTGTCGTTTGAAACTTTTTTTTTAGATTCGGTCAATGTAAATGAAGCAGAACACTCCTGAACCTGGGTTTTATGCTGAAGGACCATATCAATTCCTTGTGGGCTTCACTGGACTATCTGGTAGTCTCTAACTCAGGGTAAAAGGTCCAATCAATGGGGTATTTCAGACTATGATTTACTATGTGCTACAATGTTATTTGCTTTTTGTGATGTCGATACTATGCATTGTGATTGACATCATGCTATTTACCCCCAGCTCAAGCCAGCTGTTCAGAAATTTACAGCCAGCTCACTAATCAAGCTGGATAGAAAGCAATTGCATAAAAAAAAAATTTCATAACCCAACATGTATTCCAAATCAAAGCAGATTGCATTTTTGGATTAAATATATGTAAAATATGCATATTATTATCTCAGAAACTAATTTTTTTGTATTATTAATGTGCAAAGACAATTTTTTGTTTATGTTAGGACATGTTTACTATGTTTACTATGTTAACATGTTAAAGTTAGGGCAAATTTATAAAGTTTTTGATTAATAACCTGGTACTGTGCCAGAAATACTGCTTTCAATTTAGTTAAAATGTAAATTCAATAAGTTTTGATTTATGAGAAAATGTGTAAACATACATGTACACAAAACAACAGTTTGAAGGTCAAAGAAACATTTAGTAAAGCAATAAATAAAGACAGCCTGAGCATTGAGAAGTTGTATATATAAATGAAGGCCATGCATCAGCCAGATGTTAAACTAGAGAGTGACTAACAACCTGAAACTGCCTGCTGGTCTATAGAACAGAATGTTGACAAGTGCACTTTAAAACATGAAACTCATCTCTAACATCAAAGAAACACTTTTAAAAAATCAAAATATCAAATTAATTGAAAATCAAAAATAAAATTTTAAAACATATACAACATATAAGTTAGTTGTAAGAAATAAAATGACTGTCACTGATGGGGTACCTTGTAGGGTATTTGCTGTCTCTGCAAAACTTGTCCCTCTCTCCAATGGACCATTCTTATAAGGAGTCGGGTTGTAGGGTAAATTAGAACCCAGACCTGACCTGAAAATATCAGAAAAAAATAAGTGTACTTTAATTAGGTGTAAGATAGCAAAATCCTGTTATTTACTTATTGTGAGTTTCTTGTGGAATAGCCCAGTAGGTAACATGGAGTACGTCTGAGTGATAAATACTTACATGTTCATTGATGTGGATTGGGCTGTAGAGTAGCCCTGTGTGTGGAAGGTGGGCTCACTGGACTGGCCTTGGTGGGCATCCATTTGAACCCCAGGTTTACGAAAGCTGGACATTTTATAACACAGACCCATGTAATTCAGCTCTCTGGTTAAAAAAAGTATAAATTAATAAGAGATATAATATGCTTGAATTGCTCAATTCCTCAAGTAAGTACATGTATTCAGCTCAAAGCAGAGCATTTCGTTGTTATTGTCAGACATAATTCCAATCCTAAATAGAACTTTTTAAAACAAATCTTAGAAATTGTGCAATTGTTCAAATATACTATAGTTAATCATGATTAAAACTTTTCATGGAAACACTCCTCAAGTAATACACATACATGTAGTTTAACCATACATATACTAACAAGAGGCCCATGGGCCAGATCTCTCACCTGAGCACTGTGACTAGGAAAAAAAGCAAAAATCAATCCAGTTTTGAAAAGCTTAAATACATGTGATCCCAACCTACCCCTAAAAGGTATAAGGGGGGATGATATGAATTAACTTGAATCTAAAAAGAATGTTTACATATTTCTTTGACTTACTGTGGCTTTTTTCCCTTTAAGTTTGAACTATCATTTTTGACCCACCCTATCCCCGGGGGTCATGATTTGAAAAAAAACTTGAATAAAAATACCTGAGGATGCTTCCTTATAAAAATGACCAATCATGGCTTCCATAAAAATATGACCAATCATGGCTTTGTTGTTTTTGAGAAGATTTTTTAAAGATTTTTCCTACGTATTCATATGTAAAACTTTGGTCATCCATTGTGACCCCACCCTACACCCGGGGGTCATGATTTGAACAAAGTTGAATAAACACTACCTGATGATGCTTCCATATAAATATGTCCAATCAAGGCTTTGTTGTTCTTGAGAAGTAGATTTTTTAAAGATTTTTCCTATATTATATTTCTTAGTCATCCATTGTGAACCCACCCTACCCCACGGGGGCATGATTTGATCAAACTTGAATTTACACTACCTGAGGATGCTTCCACATTAGTTTCATCTTTCCCTACCCAGTGGTTCTTGAGATTTTTAAAACATGCCACCAAATTTTCACTATTTCTTAATTATCTCCCCTTGAATAAGGGCATAGCCCTTTATTTGTAAATACTTAAATTCCCTTCACCTAAGGATGATTTGTTGCAAGTTTAGTTGAAATTGGCCCAGTGGTTCTGGAGAGGAAGTTGAAAATGTGAAAAATTTACAGATGGACAGACAGACGGACTACAGAGAAATTGTGATCAGAATAGTTCGTTTTTGCTTTCAGCTCAGGTGAGCTAAAAATTGTTTCAATTCCAAGGAAACATTTTTAAAAATAATGATAGCATAAAATGAAAAATTGTGGATGTATTGAAATTAAAATCACTGTGATTAATTGCCAAACTACAATAACTGAACAAGTTGAAGTGAACAAGTTAAAATTTTATTCAATGGTCACTAGCTTTTACATGAGTTTCCCTCAGGTTAATCAGATTTCCCAAACATTGAGGTCTTCATGCAACCCTACAAATCAAGATGCATCAAGCACTGGCCTAACTCTACATATCAAGGTACATCAAGCACTGGCCTTTTCAGCCTAAACAGTAAGAGAACTATTTAACTTTTCATCACAATTTCTTAGCTCATTATCTGAATTCTTACCCCACCAGTGTATAACCATTGGGGGGGCGTCTCACTCCTTTGCTTAGAAGGATTAGTTCACATATGGCATCATTGGTCAAGTCACTGGACATATAACGCACACAAAGCATCTTCTTTTTGACAGCCTTTTCACCTGCAACATTTAATAAACTTTTGCCAAAATTTCCAAAAATTGCATGAGCTAGTATTCACAGAGCGTAAACTTGTTTAAGTACTATATTCACATACATAATTATTATCATTCTACATATTATATGCCAGTGCGATCTGTGCTCAGATATTTTCCTTTTAAAAGATATACATAAAATAAAAATAGACACCAAAGCTTCATAAGTCACACAAAGATAGACCACAGTAAAGCATTTTCTTTCAAAATTATTGAAATTTTAGAATTACATGTACATCATTTTCTTCAAGTCATATCTCTAATTATGATGTCATTTTTGGGGAAAATAGAGAGGTTTAGCAAACTAACGTGTACGCCTACGTGTACGTGTAGCACCAGAAATCTGTGCATTACGTCATCACTTTTGCTAATGACGAATTTCTACACGTATCCTTTCACGCAGGTTACGTGTAGATTGCCAAGTACACGTAAGTCCAAACTTGTATCTTATAATTCTTAAACTACTGCTTATTTTTCAAAAAGGGTGCGTTTTTCCAAAACCTGAATATTTAATGCAAATAACTGATAAAAGAATTGTACGTGAGTAATTGAAAAATAATAATTTATAGAGAGTTAAAATCACAACATCTAGATTTTCGAAACAGGCTTTGACCGAATAAAAATATAAGAAATCTGTAAAATCTTTTCCTCATAAGTTCATGCATATATTTATGTAATATGGTCATAAAAATGGTGATATACGTATTAAAATCATTGCTTTTTGGATGATTTTAAATTGTAAACCACTATTACATTTAAAAACGTACAAGTACAAGTACAGGTTATACTTTACTAAACAAGAAAAAAATGTTAACGTGTACGTGTAATTCTGACTTGTAGTTTACACGTACATGTACACGTACAAGTGAGCTTGCTAAACCTCTCTAATATCTAATGCTTGAAGTCTGCAAATACTTTCCAATTTTAGATCATTAATAAAGATTTCTCCATCAAAATTTTAGACATCTTTCCAAATCAAGAGTCTCTGATCCACTCCGCTCCACATAAACCCTTGATTGAATAGACAAAGTTTGACGGGATAAGAAATACGTTCTCTGATTGGCCTCATGCTAGTTTGCATAAACCAATCACAATCATTGTTTTATTTAACCTGAAACAAAATTGCAAAAAGAAAAACATGCCAGTTTTAGTCCCAATGATAACGTCTTTCTCATTAAATAGCCCAGTTAAAGGTTTGTCTCAGCTTTTTTCTTTGAGTTAAATTGAATTTATTACCTACTTCCAATATAATCTCGAATTCTTTGTTGAATTTGTTTACTCTGATTGGTCGATGGCAGAGGTCAGCAGAGTTCAAAATGTGTAATCTCACTAGATGGCGTGACAATAAACCCTGCAAAATTTCGTCTTTTCGGTCAAGGGTTGATGTGGAGGGGAGCAGATCAGAAACTCTTGACTTGGGAAGATGAATTTTAGTCTGCTGTCAGATATTATCCATTACAGAATGGAGTTCTTTAATCTAAAAATAAACAAAGTGTTTTTGGTAGCAATGTTCTTACGTGTATCGCTGGTGAAATCTACACATGTAAATCCAGCTGGTATGGCGTCTCTCTCTCCAATCACCGTCACATCCACCAGTACATCCCTACCCTGTGGAAAGAAATTGATATTGACAAATACTGTATATGTTGTTTGATAAGAAATCAAACTCTGTACAGACTGATATCTCTACCCTGGAGAAAGAAATCAAACTCTGACAAATACTGTAGATTTAGATAAATACTCTAGAATATGCAATTACAAAGCTAAGATTCTTGCTTTAGTTGAAAAATGTAATTTAATGAACATCCAAAAAATTCAAAGAAAATTCGTCATTTGCTATTTACATGTATGAGAGTATAAAAGGACAATAAATTCCACCTTTGTGAGATTTGATTTGCTGTTATTAAAGACACAGAAAGCCTCATCCAAGATGAACTGGAGGACTTATTAACTCTGATCTCACACAACATATGCTAATCCTACATGTCCATGTATATGATGTACTTCTACAGATTACATTTTTATACTCTATCAACTTCAAGGTAGTATCAGCAGTCAAGGGCATCATGGAAACAAGTTATTTTTGAAATGATTTGTTTAAGTTATTAAATGTCAACATTTTGGGTTATCTTTCCCTGATTATGCTTTTCTTCAGTAACTTATTCCAGTTACTGATACTTTACTGCTCATTATTGTAAACCTACTGGTATCTGAAAAGCTTTATTCATGCTGTGCTTGGGTTATTAAGTAGAAGGAAAGCGTTCATGACAGTAGAAGTAATCTATCTTTACAATCTAGCACATTGAAATTCCACAAATCATAACTTATTTCTGTTATTTCATCTTCAACCCACCTCACTTCAGAACTCTTGCACAAAAATATACAGCTTTGCACAAAAATGTAAGACTTAGAGATTGTACAGTAATGTCCAAAGATTATTAGAAAAGAACTGGGTACGGTATGTATAACGGGGCGGCCCTGTCTCTAAATTTGATTGAAGTTTTTAACAAACATGCCCACGATGTGTCCTTTCAAAATCATTTCATGTTTTGGAATTATCTCTTACCGTTTTTCCGCCAGAGGTTTGGGAAAATGGTGCATTTTCTTCGATAGTTACGACTTTTGACGTAACGACGTCATCACGACGTTACTGATTTTAACGTTACGTGAAATGAAATCTGTAAATTCTTTTAACCGAGAACTATTTACTTAATCCTGCAAATATTCCAGTAAACCATTTTGAACTATCTTTCAATTCATCATACATCGTTGATAGTTTGAAATAATTTAATAATTTTCAGAAATATTTATTTTTTTTGACAAACGATTGTACCAAACACGCTAGTCTACGAAACTTTATTCATCCAGATGAAATGATGTGAGTACTTAAAAAATTGAACGTATACTTTATGAAGTTGGCAAATTTTTTTTGGCAATGAACGAAAAAGCTATATTAACAGAACTCTCCCTTTCATTCCAACAAATGACGGCGCTATAAGTGTTGGGTCTTTTTTATGAACATATTAATTACTCCCTATTTCGGGGTTATATATGATACGCCTCTTTCAATTTTCTTTGATTTTAGATTTTTACCCTGGGTTGAAAAGTGGGAGGGTATATATATAGAGATCGGGGTGTCCGTCCGTCTGTTACGCTTTGGGAGTACCTCTCTTTTATGTTTTGCCGTTAGAAACCCAAAACATGTGTCGGATCAAAAAGTAAAATAAAAGGTGCACGATGGCAATATGTTATTAAGATTCTGTGAAAGTTTCATTGAATTTCATTCAGTGGCATATCTTATACCACTGAATTTCATTCAGTGGTATAAGATATGCGGATAACAGACGGGTACCCTTAAAGCGTAACAGACAGACAGACGGGTGGACATATCGATTACTATAACCCTCCTGATTTTCAAGCGGGAGGTAAAATCACGAATTTATGGGAAGGGATCCCATAATTTAGTAGTACAATATAGTAGTACTGTCTAACAGGCAAGATTTCCTAGACTTGTAGAAATAAATATTATACCATATTGAAATGTTATGTGTTTGATTTACATAGTTTATCCACCTCAGCTATAGAAGTCTGTGCGTTTTGTTTTCTAAGCAATGCGCAGTCACTTGCATTGATATCGGCTGTAAACGATCGACCAACGGTCAAAGTCGAGAGGAGATCAACAGAAAATAGGAAAGGACTGTCTCTATTTTGAAATTAAATTCTTGATATAAACTTGTTCAATGGAAGTCATAATTGTACATCTTGATAATCAGTACCACCAACCCCCCAACCCCCCATTTCTACTAAATTTTTCTATTTAAATGAAGCAAAATACAAATAATCAAAATGCAGAATGACAAAACACTTAATAATCTAAAAATATCAAAACTTAGTTCAAGTCCCTCCTCTTATTAATATTTAACCTTTTTATAAGCTACATATTGAGATACTTTTGCAGTTATAGGTACATGTATGTTATTAATATACGGAAACTAATGTTATTTTGTGTCGTGTGTGCACCGTCACTACGGCGTGCATTTTTTTTTTTACAGAGTTTAAGGTTTGTCGTTCCCGAATTACCATTAGAAAGCGAGATTAGCTTTCTAACAAAACAGTTGTTTTTTTCCTTGAAAGTTGTTTAAATAAAAAAATTCTTTTAAAATATACCTAACAAACAGCTGACATTTATTACGTCATTTACGTGACTATACATCTACTGAGACAAAAACTGCTTAAACATAGACATTTTTTTATATTGATTATGCTTTACAATACCTCCTAATGTAAATATATGTTTATAGATATTTGATAGATTTCAGTGACAATTATAATTTCAATTCCAATCCTGTCGCACTTCCTTTGGAAACATTCACTTTCTGGTGTCTTCGCAATGTTTTACGTCATTTGTTCTTGTAGTAACGATAAAATACTTTTCATATTTTTTTTGGAACGAATAATCATCACAGACGGAAGTTGACATCTTTAAAATTCTGATCTGATGTGTACCATTTTCACTACGGTGATATGGACTGGACACCACTCACCTCCTCCCCAGCCCTTATGAATGTCATTTGTATCAATTTTGGTGTTGCACGATAAAGATCCCTCCCTGCTCAAAGGCCGGAAGTGCCGAGCATAGGCCTAAATTTGCAGCCCTTCACCGGCAATGGTGACGTCTCCATATCAGTGAAACATTCTGGAGAGGGACGTTAAACAGTATTCAATGAATGAATGAATGTATCAATTTTGATATCCTATGACATATTTAATGTATTATTTCATGAATAATTTGGTTGAAATTTTTTCAAATCATAACAATATTTTGTCTGATACATTCGTTTTAACACAGATAATTTTTAAAAAGCAATTTAATGTCTTATAAATGACTTAATTAATTTCTGAAAAAAGTCCTAATCGAGCTAAATATATCGATTGTATGTAGCGGAAGGGGAAAAGCATGTCTCTTGTCAAAAAATTATGCATGATTATGCTTGTTTTTATTTCTTAAATATACAGCAGACTCACATATGTTAAAATTGCCTTCACTTGTCTGTGTAAAGAAAAAAGTTGATTAATACTGGAAACTGTTAATCTATATTCAGACACAAATAAATAGTTGATCGAATTATGTTTCTTTTTAAAATTACATAGAAATTGCTGAAAACACTCACAACTGTAGCAATACAATATTTGTCAAAATAATATTATTTCATTATCTAAACTCGATCCTTATAGATTACAGTTGCGGATCCAGGAATTTAATAACGAGGGAGGGGGTTGTATTGAGGGCAGGGTGTCTGAAGCAGCGTTGAAGCCTCATGGGGGTTGGGAGCAATTCGTGGTAGGGGCCGGGGAACGAACATCTGCTATAATATGTGCCCCCCCCCCTTTTGATTTAGAAAACCAATCGTCACCTTGCTGGAATTTAAGAATACATTGCCATGGCGGTAAAATAATATTTCGGAATATCTCATACCATACGTGTAGATCTACTGATAAGTTTGTGTTTAATGCTGGAAACAAAAGAAAAAATTACTACATGCTTGTTTTACAAAATACAAATAAATTTTTAAAAATCAAACGGCGGATGGGGATGGGGGGGGGGGGAGACGTAACGGCCCTGGATCCGCCTTTGAATTGCATGTTTCATTTAAATCTGTCTTGAAAACACTGATGTCAACATTCACCATGATAAATATATAATCTAAATCATATTTTAAAAAAGCTGCATAATAATTTTCAATAAAACTTTCAAAAAATCTCTTCTTGAACATAAAGTCAATATCATGTCCAATATGAAGGAGACGCTTGTTTTAATAAGAGGTACATGTATAAATATAAAATGTCGTTTGACTGTTTTTCACAGTATATATTGATTGAAAATTTATCATATTATTATTTTATTAGGGAAGACTGAAGAATTTGGTTATTCAACATATGCCGGCTCATTGTGACGTCATGTTTTGATGTATTGCGTCATTGATTTCCATGCAATGTCCCTTGATAAATTTTACGAAGAAAAGTTTAGGTAGTTTTCATAACATTCAGATACAGATTTAAACAATAAATTTCTGTAAAAGTATAGATTAGATGATAACACATTCAGATTCAGACATCAATATTTAATTTCTTTTAAAGTATATATTCTAATGAGGAGGAAAAGTCACATCTATCCAAAAACGAAATATTTTCAACTACAGTTTTTCTTAAAAACGGACGTGGCCGCACTTTTGTACAGTTAGTTTTTCTCTTGCATATTAGTAACCAACGTATACTTGTTCTTTCAGCAAAATTTCGCATATGTACTCGGATGCGGCCACATCGAAATATTAACTTGAAGAGGAGCAAAACGTCCAAAATAGGTGATTCCCGAATATTTGACCGGTTTTGAACGTTATATACACAAAAAGTCACGTGAGTTGAAGAAAATTGATACCAATTTTTCACAAAGGGGAACCTGAACGATAAATTGACACAGTTAAAAAAATGTTATCGTGCGTTTAATTTTTGCCGATTTTACAGGGCCGCCTTGTTATACATACCGCACCCAGTTCTTAGTCTCAGTGTTGGCAAAATTGGCGGAAGATGTGTAATTGACCCCCGAAATGTTCATGAAATGTCATTATTTTTCCTTTGATTTTTTTTTAAAATATCATCTTATCTGCTGAGGAGATATTAAGTCTGATGATTTTATTAAAAGAAGTACATATATTTACAACTTTCTCAGCCTTATATCATCTTTAATCAGCAGAAAACTCAACACATTGATGTTTTCTGGCAAAACTGATAGGCATTCTACTTTTTAAGAGTGAACTCAAATGAGTTACTTCTTTGTTTAGTCATAAATAAGTGAAGTAACCTAAACAAGTTATTTTAAAAAATAACTTGATTCCATCATGCCCCTGACTGATCAGAATTGTATTTGCATATCATTCCTGTTTTTTTTTAGGATCTAGGATCAATGAATTTAAACATGCTGAATAAATAAGCATATTTACTCTATATTTAAATTTTCATATAGAATTAGAACTTAGAAAACACTTTAATTACCGGTGAGGGTGGCATTTTCTCCACACAGAGGAAACGCACCACTTTTCTTCCGAAGAGACCGTCTCTCCATAAATCAGCATCCTCTTTACGATCGTAGGTACGGTCAATCTAAAATAATCGTAGGTACGGTCGATCTATAACTTGTCTACCTTACATTCAATTCTCAAAATAATACAATGTACTCTGAACATTTCTCAAAATACATGATTACGTCATAGTATAATACTTTAACCAGAAGTTTCTGATGAGACTGTAGCTCTACCAATTTGTATTTATAACAAAAGAAAGAAAAGTAGCACTTGCATTTGAAACTATGCAACAGCAAGAAATAGAATAATGGTCTTTGGTTTAGTCACTTTTTGTGGCATGATTCACTGCAATAAGATTAAAACTATTGGTGGAAGGCACTTTTCAAAATTTCTTTTTTTAAGTAACCTGGGAAAGATCAAAATCAAAAACCAAAATAAAGAATCTCAGTATAGTCTGTCAAGTTATACTGAAATCAGACCAAGACTGTAGGAAGAGTAGCATTTAAAACTTCAAAGAAATTTCCATTTGTGGTAACCAATGCAACACCATTCAATGAAATCAAAAACTGATGCACTGACTAATCTATTTTATATTGAAGTCTACTTGTGTGCCAAATTATTTTTGAATCAGACCAAAACAGTAGAAGTAGTTGCCTCTTGAACGTATTCAATAGAAATTTCTATTTTTAGTTACCAAGGCAAAACCATTCATCGAAATCAAAAAAATTTGGACTGAATTATGTATCTTAGTGTTGCTTGCTTTTATGCCAATTTATACCAAAATCATACCAGAACTGTAGGAGGAGTAGCATTTTGAAAAATGTTTACACAGTCATGCAGAACGGACAGGCAGCTACCTTACTATCCCATAAGCAATACTCATATTGGTCTCTGACCAGTACAGCTAAAAACTGGCTTTATGTCAGATTTAAATGTCTATAAATAATTACCAGGATAATACAAATAATTACCAGAGTAAATCCTGTAAATAATTACCAGATTAAATCCTGTAAATAATTACCAGAGTAAATCCTGGAGGACATCTAGCAGGATCTGTTACTATGGCAACCTGTGTAATAGGTCTGTCAATGTCTGCCATGTCCCCTATAAAATAAATATCAAATTTTTATACATGTACGTACCTCTAGAATCATTTCATTTGTAAATGTTTAATTCGAGGCCCATGGGCCATATTGCTCAACTGAGCATGCACATTGGTTAGAGAAGAGCAGAGATCATTTCATTACAATGTACTGACAAATTTTACCATTACCCAGGAGAGGCAGGGGAGGGGTCCTGACTGGAACAAATAAGAATGTAACTTACTTAGTACATGTAGATGTTCCATATTTATATGACTAATTATGGCTTTAAAAGATAATTAGAGACGTTTACATTAAATATTCTTTTAAATTATATTCTTATGTTAAAGTTTGGTCTTCTATTTTGACCCCATCCTAGTGAAAATTCTGACTTTGCACATTGATGCAAATGATTTTTTTCCATAGCTACATGTGGTCCAAAACTACGTTCTCATGGTTACAAGACGTGTTGAGAAAAAAATTAACTTGCCTGGATTTTAATGGTTATATAGCAGATAAAATGTAGATTAAAGACCCAATTTTTTTACCGTACGGTTACCTGAGGAGGGGGAGTGGTCCAAGTAACAGTGCTGTTATTTACCTGGAGACCCCCAATACCCAAGACGTCAAAAATCTATATACACGTAGCATTACACAGGAAGTCTGTGTCTGGTGATCAGGGTCAACATTCCGTGTTTCATGTCTAAATCGGAGTGAAACTGCTTGAAATAATTGAAATATTTCAATATAAAGTTTATTTATTTCTACTTTCAGCGATATTTAATGAAGAAAAAAAGTTATAAAGAAATATCGTTTTTCTATTTAAAAAAAAAATGTAAAATTAAAGACAAGAACAGAGAGTAAAACTACAAAGCAAACATTCCTTTTTTAATTAAACTTGTGTAACTATCAAAATTTAAAAGAATAATAAAATATTCCATTCATAGACCTATCCGTTTTGTGAACATATATACAATGTGCAGCAGGTATATATTTTGCCTACGTTCTGACCAACAATAGTGTCGAAAATATTCACCATTTCCGGGTGTTCGTGTGTTTAAAAATTTTTACTGTTTGCAAGATTTCTTTTATACTTTTAAGAATTGATCTTTGGCTTTATATATTCACTTTTTAACTTCGAATATTGGGTATTGACAGACGTTAGGAAATTCGAACTAAAAGTTACAATCTCGAAACACATGTTTCTGACATTTCAATTACAACGGAACATGGTGTAGATTGTATTCAAATATACATTGATAAAACATTGGATAAAGGAATTTTTTATCCATGCCGTTTGTGCTAATATATCTTTTCTTATTTATCATATTCCAATTTTAATCGGCAAATAGCGTTTCTGTGCACGGACTGCTCTAAATTCTACAGCAGATATCTTGGACGACATATCGCCTAAAATACAATATAGCCGTTGAGATTGAAAGCAAATATTTTATGAAGTCATGTTTTAATTATCTGCTCTCAATTGTTTTTGAAAAAAAAATTACCAAGATTCTTTTTTTTAACCCCCGTGTATACAAGGCGGCTACATGAAAGTGTTTGACGCGTGACCAGGCAATCGTTTTCAAAAGACACAAACTCAGACTATCAAGTAGCACGAGTAGCTGGCCTGTCAATCAAATCAGAAGCTTTTGTTTTTTTAATGATTGACAGGCCGTAAATTATTGATCTTGAATCAGGTAGATTTTAGGGGCGTTAACATAAAATTGGGTGTTTAAAGGCAGAGATTTTTTACCGGGTGGTAAATTCCAGGTGAGGGAGGGGCTTATTCTGCACAGGTGTGAAAGCCTTGGGGGCTAGCAGTCTACAGGGACATCTGTCTCCTAATTCCTATACACAGGAAGCGATTTAATACACAGTGAAATACCCCAAGTGTCAAACTTTACCTGTATTGGGGATTTTGAGACAATTTTAAAATTAGTAGTAAAAAGTTTTTTTTCAATTATATATTGATTTATTTTTTACTGTTTGAAAACACCCCTACCCATTTAAAAAATTATTATTTTATCACACTATAAATTCAACTATTAAAACAAAGATTGTTTTAGATGTTAATGTATGTGTTGATTAAAAAAACAACTCCTGTAACAACCAAATTAGACTTAATTCCTTCATCCCCAGGATCCCATCTATTAATAAAATGAAAAGAGAGTTGAGCTTTGTGTTAACCACATTTCACTAAAAAAAATATCTAGGTTTACCCAAACCTTATAAATAAGACTTTATTACCATGAACAGTCAGGGGCATAACTCAAACAAGTTATTAAAAAAATAACTTAAATAAGTTATTTTACATTATTTTAACCACACAATTTTTTTTATAAAAATAACTTAAATAAGTTATTTTTATATCCTACTTGGACATTTATTTCTTGGAAATTTTGTGTTTCCTGCCAATTTGCATTGCATTTTGGGATTCTATTTCTATTATGTAATACTAGATGGAGTTCACCGACTCCAATGGAGAATTGGTGAGGAGGTGGAGATAAACAGCATTTACACCTTATTTTGTGGTTTTATCCACATTGTGTACATGTCCAATTTTCATCATAAAATAAAAAAAAAAATCCCCACTTTTCCCAGTCCAGTCCAATACGAAAATTCGTAATATTACGAAAAAACGTAAGATTACGAGAAAGCGTAATATTACTAGTTATCGTAATATAAAACTTATATTACAATTTTTCGTAATGTAGTTAAATTACGAATACGCGTAATATAGCAGATGTAAGAGACTATATTACGAGTTTTCGTAATCCAAGACAAATTCAAGCATTGCAAGAAACTGAGTGGCGGGTAGCAAAGTATGACGTTTAATACGGGATGTCACGGGCGATAACTTGTACGACTCTTACTGAGATTTGATTTCTTTGTATTTCAATAAGAATTGCACGAACAGTTGAATTATGAGACGAGGGTGTGATTTTTAGGGTAGACTTCGGAAGAAAAGTAGGGAGTTCGGGTGATATAGACCAGTGTGACATGCTTAAGCGAATATTGAAATTTACTGGAAAATTGGTCTTATCCTTGGGAAAATTCGTATAAAAGAATAATAAAAGAAATTGTCAACTCACCCATCGCTGGCGGTACTTTCTTCTTGAATTTCCATGCTTTCTGATAGGCGTAACTGACCAAACTGACCGCCTGCTATCAGTAGCCGTGGAATCTGATATATTACTGACGTAATACTTTGCTACGCACCACTCATTTTCTTGCAATTCTTGAATTTGTCTTGGATTACGAAAACTCGTAATATAGTCTCTTACAATCTGCTATATTACGCGTATTCGTAATTTAACTACATTACAAAAAATTGTAATATAAGTTTTATATTACGATAACTAGTAATATTACGAATTTTCGTATTGGACTGGACTGTTTCCCAAGACTTTGAACACTTTTCCTGCAATGAGCAAGGTTTAAATTTAGTCAAACATTTGTTTTTGTCTTGGTACACGAGCAAAATCCTTTGGTGCACGGGATGTGAAGTTAGGGAGGAATGACACAAAATAACTTAAACAAGTTATTTATTTATTGAAGCTACTTTGGAAAAATAACGTGTTTGAGTTACAAAGGCTGGGAAAAAGTAGGTCATAGCAAAGAGAAGTAACTCATTGAGACAAAAAAATAACTCATTTGAGTTATTTTTGAAAATAACTTGTTTAAGTTATGCCCCTGACTGATGAAACATGCTAAAAAAGATTGCTTGTAAATTCTTATCTGATTAAAAAAGGAAAATATACATGTAAGCATGGTAAGTGACCCATTATTGGAAACATTATTTTTAAATTTAATTTATTTTCTTCACATAGTGCTTTTCTGGACTTTATTAATAACATTTCCACTGTAGGTTTACCATTTAGCATATTAAAATTAATATCAAAATTTCATTTGAAAAAAAGTTTCATGCGCTAAAGGTTAATTTAAATAAAAAAATGCATATTATAATAGTCCTTTCGAATACTAAAGGTATACCGGTATATAATTCAAACACTATCAATATTTTCAAAGTAATACAGTTTCTGTGTACTATGTTCAGTAAACATCAAAGGATCAAATGTTATTTAGAAGATCGCCACGAGTCCCAAACAAGGTGTTCAGGGTATACACAGGGACCAGTAAGTTTTTGATTAATATTTGCTCTGTGTACACTTCGATATGGTAATGCAAGATACATATTACATCATGCAATCTAATTAAAATTAGATGTTAGATCTGCTTGCATACTCGCTACACTAACATCTAACAACATCCCATAGAGGGTCACATCAGAGGTCAAATTCTATCAACCAATCAAATCTTCGCCTGCAAAATCATGGTATATTTGTTGACGAAATTGAAGTGGAAAAGTATAGAGATGTTCTGAATTTGACCTCTGATGTGACCCTCTATGAGATGTTGTTGGATGTTAAGTGTAGCGAGTATGCAAGCAGATCTAACATCTCATTTTAATTAGATTGTACATCATGTGACGTCAGAGTCTATGCAAAGCAAATGAGCCCAATATGAATTAAAACTGAATTAGTATCTGCACTCACCCTAACAGCCACACCATGAACACATAATTTTAATGGATGTAAGTAAATTCAGTCAAAGGTTGTTTTGGCATTCAACATACCAATACCTTGGCAATAACAGATCACACCTAATTATGCTAATATTTTTTTTTTCTCAGTTTTTATATTATGATCAGGAAGATTGAAAACTGCGCACATGATCAATTATATTGTTCATATTAAACATACCAGTTCAATTTTCTGCAAATATAGCTTCTGAGACCAAATACTTGTGCTCAAGTATGTGACTTTTTCAGTCCATCTTTTCCTCACAAGAACTGAAATACAAATATAAATTTCTTTAACCATAGTACACACAGTCAAATCACAGGCACCTGAATTTTTATGTGGTCAAATTGTGGAATGATCATGATGATAATTCATAACCTTTTGTCACTTAATTAATCAAGAAATGTTTAACCAGGATATCAGTATAACAAAAAAAATTAAAAACAAAGTGATAAAAAAGATACGTACAATATTGTTCCGATATATATATTAAATAACTAAATATCTGTACCGAAATTGATGAGTAATTTCTCAAAAATAAAATTACGAAAATTACAAAGCGCTTATATCACCAAGATTGATTGGGTGCGTCGATTTACCCAAATGGACCCAAATGGACCCAAATGGAAACTCAAATGGACCCAAATGGAAATCAAATGGAATATAAAATATATATATATTATATCGTATTCTCAAGTTTTTACTTATTTAAAACACAGAAAATAATGAAATTAAAACAAAAAGAAAATATTTTAATATTAATTTCTTTAATTGTATTTTTAAAAATGCGATTTAATTCTATTTGTAATAACTATTGAACATAATTGAATACAAAAATATTTGATAGTTTCTTTGGCAGTAGGAACGAATGGAGGGGGGGGGGAGAGGAGGCCATGCCCCCCCCTACCCCCAAATAATTTTGCCGGTATATAGGATACTATGAAAACTTCATGTTTCAAAATACAATATTAGAGATTAATAATAAAAAAATTCATTTGTAACTGTAAGTTCATTTATTTTCATCATTTTGAATAAGTATTAAAATACGATAATACATATTTAATATTCCATTTGATTTCCATTTGGGTCCATTTGGGTCCATTTGTGTTTCCATTTGGGTTCATTTGGGTTCCATTTGGGTCCATTTGGGTCCATTTGGGTTCCATTTGGGTCCATTTGGGTAAATCGACGCGCCGAGATTGATTTTGACAACCAGTCGTCCACAATATATTCGACTCAGCTTTTGTCCGACTTACCCAATAATACCAACCGGAAGTAGGTTTATTAATTTGGCTCCCATTTCGAATCGCAAAAGCGATGGATGTGTGATTTTTTGTAGAAAATTTTATTTTGTAACATGTCAGACAGAAGAAAAAGTAAGAGAAGATCTAGTTTAGCAGCCAGTAGGATCCAACTTCAGTATGAGAAGGCAAAAATAAGTTCATCTGGTGGTAAGATCCTTCCTTGGCTTGCGCTTGCATAGACCATATATCAACTACATGTGATGTATATCATAATTCACACCGTCAAGCTCTCGCACACACAAATGAAGACAGTTCAGTGGGTAGACTTTACTTTACTGGTTCCCAGATCCGCAAGAACCCCATACTCATTGAACTATGAAGTAACATATAAGTCACTCAACTGATAAGGGTTAGTCTTGCACCTTATTTCACTGATTAGGGTTAGTCTTGCACCCATCTGAGAGATAAGGGTTAGTCCTTGCACAAGTATTCGACTAGTTAGGGTTAGTCTTGCGTCCATCCGAGAGATTAGGGTTAGTCCTTGCACACTATTTATTGTTAAATCTAGACCCTAAAAAGGGCATGGTAATCCAAGAATCAAAAGGGCACTTTGCGTCGTGACAGCATCTTGTGAGGGCACTTTTTAAACAAGTGTAAAAATCTTTGAAATTTAAACATTTACTATTTTTTACATACTTTAACATGTTTGATAACTTTTAATATCAATTCATAGTGAACATGCTGAAATCTTTATTTGAAAAAAAAGATTAATTTAAAGTTAAATTTATATATCTGTGTTCAATTCATTTTTGAACAGAATGCCAACACAATAGACCCTTTCAAGGTTAGTGGACGCCATCTTGGATTGGGGGCATCACGCGACTATCGTAATTAACGTAAACAATGGCAGCTGATGCAGATGCACCGCATCAATTTTCGTCTAGCGATCGCTTCACAGTCATTGTCATTTAGAACTGAATGTATACGTATTGTAAGCAACATATTTTAGTCTAAAAAAGAACATTTTCTTTATTAATTGGTGTTTATTTACCTTAGATGAACTGCAATATTACAACGTGCATCAAGTAAAACGTGCGGAGATAGAGTGCTTATGTTACGTTACTATCTATCCTCTTCTTACATTTTAAGCATAAAATATTTGTGGAAATCAAAACAAAAGAAGGTTTAAGCATAAAAACACTCATTTACATTTTATCGTTACTTGGATGATTTTTTTAAAATTAATTTCTTTAATATCTATACCACTCACGCGGGCGGATCCAAATGAGAATATTGAGAAGTACTGAATGAATAAAAGCCCATAAAAACATCTGTAAATAGACCAATATACTTAAAAAATAATATTTACTTTAATATAATGTTTTTAGCTATTTTATTAGACAACTTTAAATAGGTTTTAATTAATTAAATTCAAAAAATAAGAATATAAACTATGTGTAAAATTATACAATGATTTAAAAATATGTTGCATGTGTATATCAATGTCAAAATTGCAACTTCAAAGTAAATAATTTATACAAATTTATTTAAACAGTAATTTTTATACGCCCGTCTTAAGACGGGACGTATTATGTTATAGGCTTCACGTCCGTCCGTCCGTCCGTCCGTCCGTCTGTCCGTCTGTCTAGCTGTCCATTCCTGTCCGGCTCATAACTTGAATACTATTAGGCCTAGGATTATGAAACTTTGTCAACTTATACTTCTTGGGTAGACGGTGTGTCGCGAACAAAAAGTAGGTTGCTGTGACCTTTAATAAAGATGCTATAGCCAAATATGGAAAAATCCTGTCCGGCTCATAACTAGAAAACTATTAGACCTAGAGCTTTCAAACTTGGCAAACGTATACATCTAAAGTAGAAGGTGTGTCGCGGCCTATTTCAAGGTCACTGTGACCTTTAATTAAAGTGAATTTTTTAAAAAAGCTAAGTCTTTTAAATTCTAAATTTCATAATCTTAAAAAATGTAAAAATATAGTTGTATGCTTATTAAAAAATGCAAATGTTTATGCTTTGAGAGGAATTCAGTTTGTCCCATGGGCTTAATTATCAAGCACTGGTCAAGAAGAATTTTGATAGCAGAAATTTGCATGTCAAATTAGAGAGAAATAAATGAGTTTATTGTCAGGAGCTAAGAGCATCTCTAGATCTGATGCAGATGTTATCTTGATTTATCTCTTGGGAGTTGGGCAAAAAGAAATGGCCTCATAGTTGCTTGTGCTAATTAAGAGTTCTTGATGGCTAGTCCAGATAAAGATCTTTCAATTGATGTAATGTAATTAAAACAAATTGATGTTTTAGAGTATGATTAAAACTAAATTAGTATTGTATGATATGATTAAAACTAATTATATATGTGTTCATTGAAAAAAAAAATTATATTTCAATTATTTTATATTTGCAACAAAGATGCTATAGCAAAATATGGAAAAATCCTGTCTGGCTAATAACTAGAAAACTATATTGAATATACAGTCAAACTATCCTTATGATTGAAGAAAAAAAACAAGGAAAAATAATACAGTATCTTTATCAATCAGTCCGACAATAAGTGAAAAATTTGCTTTCAGCAGAAAACAAGGAATTCCTAAATTTCCTTTTTGTATGATCATTGTACAACAATCCCCTGCTTTCCCCCTCCCCTAAAATATGGAGTGTATGAAAAAACCAGAAGTCTCTGTCGAGACTGTAGCTCTACTGGTTTATACTTAAAACAAAGGAAGAGAAAAGTAGCAGTTGGGACTTGAAACTTTAAAACAGCAATAAATAGAAAAATGATTCTTGCCACTCATCAAAATAAAGACCGATGCACAGAATTATGTATATCTTAGTATAGTCTACTTGTGTGCCAAGTTATATTGAAATCAGAACAAAACTGTAGGAGAAGTAGCATTTTGAAAAATTGTTTACAGATAGACAGATAGACAGACGGACAGCTAGACAGATGACGGACACAATACTATTGCATAAGCTCTTCTGGTCTCTGACCAGCAGAGCTAAAAATTACAATTTTAGTGAAATTAGACTCTTTGATTCACTAGTCAATGGATCACTGTATAATGTTTAGCAATTTATGAAGTAGACATGAAAGAAACTATTTGTGGATTGGGGTGTTACCGTGTACCCCTCAATAATTAAATCCAATGAATACAATATATACACATCACACAATACAATAAGCTTATCTATAAAGTTGTCGTGTCTCCCCAATTATTAATATGAACTTTGTTTTTGCTTGTCAAAACATTACTTTTCAATTGTTCCCCCCCTTCCTTCATCACCCTGAAATTTCTTCAACAGACCTGGCAGCTAGATCTAGAGCTGAATTTTAAAATGTGGGTAAATCACATTCACATATAGCACATGACATCCCAATGATCAAGTGCTAAAGAGAGTCAAGTATTCTCAATTGAAAACAGTTTTACATACATGTACAAATTTATTATTTATCATGATTATTACATGTATTTTTAGCTCACCTCAACGAAGTTGGGGGGAGCTTATGTGATACCCTCGGCGTCGGCGTCGGTGTCGGCGTCGGCGTCGGCGTCCCGGGTTAAGGTTAAGTTTTTTGGAGCAGTTTTCTTTTTAAGTACTTCTATGTCCTATATTGATTAGACATGCATGGAAGATGTTGCTAGTGTGTTTCATTGTACCAGTCAAAGTTTCAGATGCTGCAATTTCAGCAAAGGAATGACCAGGTTAATGTTTTTGGTGCAGGTTAACTTTTTTGGTGCAGTTTTTGGTGTAGGTCTCATTTCCGAGTAACTATAAGCCCTATGTTGACCAAACTTACATGGATGATACATCTTAGGATGCATACTACCAGCCTTGCTTCGGATGCTGAATCTGACCTACATTTTCCGGTTGAGTGAACAGGTTAAAGTTTTTGGTGAAGGTTTCATTTCGAAGATACTTTGAGCCCTATAATGACCAAAGTTGCATGGATGGTACATCTTAGGATGTATTCTACTAGACTTGCTTCGGATGCTGAATCTGACCTACTTTTTCCGGTTGAGTGAACAGGTTAAAGTTTTTGGTGCAGGTTTCATTTCCAAGTTACTATGAGACATATAATGACCAATCTTACATTGATGATACATCTTAGGATGCATACTACCAGCCTTGCTTCGGATGCTGAATCTGACCTACATTTTCCGGTTGAGTGAACAGGTTAAAGTTTTTGGTGAAGGTTTCATTTCGAAGATATTTTGAGCCCTATAATGACCAAACTTGCATGGATGGTACATCTTAGGATGTATTCTACTAGACTTGCTTCGGATGCTGAATCTGACCTACATTTTCCGGTTGAGTGAACAGGTTAAAGTTTTTGGTGCAGGTTTCATTTCCAAGTTACTATGAGACATATAATGACCAAACTTACATGGATGATACATCTTAGGATGCATACTACCAGCCTTGCTTCAGATGCTGAATCTGACCTACATTTTCCGGTTGAGTGAACAGGTTAATGTTTTTGGTGAAGGTTTCATTTCGAAGATACTTTGAGCCCTATAATGACCAAACTTGCATGGATGGTACATCTTAGGATGTATTCTACTAGACTTGCTTCGGATGCTGAATCTGACCTACATTTTCCGGTTGAGTGAACAGGTTAAAGTTTTTGGTGCAGGTTTCATTTCCAAGTTACTATGAGACATATAATGACCAAACTTACATGGATGATACATCTTAGGATGCATACTACCAGCCTTGCTTCGGATGCTGAATCTGACCTACATTTTCCGGTTGAGTGAACAGGTTAAAGTTTTTGGTGAAGGTTTCATTTTCAAGGTACAGTGTACTATGAACCCTATAATGACTAAATTGCATGGATGGTACATCTTAGGATGCATACTACCAGACTTGCTTCGGATGCTGAATCTGACCTACATTTTCTGGACGAGTAAACAGGTTAAAGTTTATGGTGCAGGATTCATTTCCAAGTAACTTTGAGCCCTATAATGACCAAACTTGCATGGATGGTACATCTAAGGGTGCATTCTACTAGGCTGGCTTCGGATGCTGAATCTGACCTACATTTTCTGGATTAGTGGAAAGGTTAATTTTTTTATACAGGTTTCATTTGCAAGTAACTTTAAGCCCTATGTTGACCAAACTTGCATGGATGATACATCTTAGGATGCACACTAATGGACTTGCTTCAGATGCTGAATTCGACATACATTT